GGAGGGAGGGGAGATGGCCGGCAGGTTTAGGTAAAGAAAGGGGAAGAAGGGAAGGAAGAGATAAGACCACGAACTTAGACACTTCCTGCGGTAGGTGGGTGATGTGTTGCCCTTCACCAAGGGACTTCACCAAAGCTCTCTCCAAGAACTCTCAAGCTCTCTCCAAACACATGGATGTAGAAATTTTTCATAATATCATTCATTAACCAACATAAGCATAGGAGGAGGATATAAATAGTCCCCAAAATACAAGGATAAAACAAAAGACAAAAGTACACCTTCGGGTTACAAACATCTCTTCCCTCCAGTGAGGATAAAATTGGAATAATACATAAAATTGCTTAAAAATAAATCGGCGCGATCGTGGCTGTAGATCATCGGCCCCGCCTCAGGTAGACTTTCCAAGGCCTAATGTCATCATCACTTCGTCTCTAGCACGTTCGCTGGGTTTCGCCCGCTCAAGTCCTTCAGCTTCGTCTCCTCTTCCCCCCATGCGTCGTCCTTCCTCTGCTCAAGAGTCGACGGCAGTAAACAAACCTATGATGGCCCATTCGGACTGCCTTCATTCGATGCCGACCAGATTCCAGAGTCGTAGAGGGTGGATTGCGGTGATGCAGCCATCTACCAAGTTAAACCCGTGATGTAGTCTTCTTCGCTCTCGGACTCCATACAATCCCCAACGTAAGAACCCTTGTTCCAAGTTGCCACTGGTGCTCGACTCTTTTTGAGGAAAAAGTCCTTGTCGAGAAACTCCGCTGGAAGCCAGAACTCCGCCTTTTCCAGTTTCTCAGCCATGTTCGCTCCGTCGAAAACCACGTTAACCGGGTAGGGCTAGAAAAAAAAAGAAGAGGGTCAAAGCAAGTCAAAAGTCCAGTTCGTTGCTAGTTGGCAAAGAAATAATAATTTTCATGCCTCCCTTGAGCCCTCCTTCCTCCTGTTCGAGCCGCAATCGGGATTTTTTGCGAGCGGGGTTCTTGGCCTTGTCCCTTACTCCGCAGGGTTCGTCTTTGCAGTCGATTTTTCCGGATGCCAAAGGAGCACGATTCTCCCTCTCAAGTCGCAAGCCGAGTCTCCATCCCGGCTTCCTCCATTGCAGTCATCACGCGGCTTCCTCCTTCAGCTTTGTCTCGCACGTCCAGCGTGCCTTCCGGTCGATTAAGGCCTTCTGCGTGCCGACAATGAGTGAGGAATTTGTGGCTGGAGAAGGCGTCAGTGGCGTCTGGTAGCACCAATCCCTTCTTCCTCTTCTTTTCCTCCTTCGACGATCTACGATTGTTCTTCAACAGCAATGAAGATCGTTAGCTGATTTGGCAGCGTCAATGTACAGGGAACTAGGGCAGTGACGGCGGCCTATCTTCTATAATGGCGTCTAGCAGTGTCAAAAAGTTACGTTGTTTCCGCCTGTACTTGCTCGTCGATCGTTCATCAGAAGTTTGGATTGTTTGAACTTCTTCAGCGACAATAAAGGCTGCTCGGTTTTCTTTGACGATTCGGCACAGTCGCGGCAATGAAGGCCAGCTTCTCTGCTTTCTTCGTATATCTTTTTACAAAGATTTGGTGATGTCTAATTGCGGCTCCGATACCATGTTATAAATCAAAGGTTTAAGAAGAAAAAAATTATTATAGAAAACTATCCCTATTTATAGATCTATACAATATATCTTAATAAAGAAACAAATAAATATGGAATCATGCATAATTACCCTAATATAATCCTTCCTAAATCAACCACCAAAATATAGAATGAGATAGGCATGATCCAGGTGAGCCTCCACGGATTCCCATCCTGACCGTGGGATTAAGTGCCAAGTAGGGTTGTCAATTCGTGTCGGCGGGTCATGTTCGGGTCAGACACGAATTTGAGTTGGTTGTATCTGACCCGACCCGAACACGACCCGAAACAAGTTTTGGGTCGATTCTCTGGACCCAAACCCGACCCGAATCGGGTTCGGGACAACACGACCCGACACGAAATTTTGAAAATAAATCGTTAGCAGCGGCAGCAAGGCATAGTGGCAGGCGGCGCGACAGTAGGAGGCAGTGCGGCACAGCGGCAACGCAAGTAGCTCCCGACGGCGCGACGGTGCGACAGCAGTGGCACAGCGGCAGCACGCGAACGTCAAGACTCCTCATTCGTGATTCGCGAAGCGATGCAGCGCCAGTCGCCAGACAGCACCAGAATGCGATTGGGACTGCGACTCGATGCGTCGAGTCATTTCGCGGGCAGGGTGGTCACGCCGGGCAACAGAAATGGGCAGACGCATTTCCGGGTCATTTTCGGGTCAATATCGAGTTTCCAGGTCAACCCGAACCCGACTCGTAACACAAATCGTGTCAATTTTTCGAACTCGAACCCGACCCGTTTGCTAACCGGGTCGACTCGAACCCGAATTTTTCCGTGTTGGGTTCGAATCATGTTTCGGGTCATGTCAAAAATTGACACCCCTAGTGCCAAGGGAAGATTGAGATTTTAACCGCATTTATCTAGTCATAAACCAAATAGAAATAAACATGATACCAAAGCTTTCAAATATATCTTTCTTGGGTATGAGGCAAAACAAAAGGGGTGTAATTGTATAAATATTATTCTCTTTATATATATATACACGCCACCTTCTTTGAGAGTCAACCCTTCTAGAAAAATTCCCTTTAGGGGAAGATAGAAGAGGAAGGAAATTTAAATATCTTGTCCCCAAAAAATCTCCAAAATAATACCACCAATCCTCCTAAACCCACATACAGATTTTCAAAACTCCCCTGCAATTGACCCCACAACATCCCACTTAACTATATGTTTACTCTTGACGGAAGAATCTATAAAGAACTAAAATCTATTCTCCGTGAAGCTCGTGATGACACATATGTGGACTTAGATAAAATATTTAACTCCTCTATAAAGAATTGAATGGTGGGAAAACTCGCCTATTTCACTAAAAAAAACCTAACATAGGCTTTATTACTAATTTGGTAAGTCAATTCATACACGTCCCTCAAGAAAAAACACATGAATGTTGATACTAGGATTTTCAAATACCTACAAGGAAGCCTTGAAAGGGATTTTATTTTTTAAGAAAGGAGAAATCATAATTATAGAAACCTATGCTGATGCTGATTAGGTTGGGTCTATAACAGAACATCCAATTCAAGATATTGCACATATGTATGGGGTAATTTTATATCTTGGAGAAGCAAAAAGATAAATGTGGTGGCAATGAGTAGTGGAGAAGCATAACTCAAAAAATTGGCCAGTGTGATCAATGAATTAATCAAGTTTAAACTATACCTAGAAGAAGTAAATATTAAGATTACTATAAAATGAAATGCAATCATATCTAGGATATTATTAGATATATGTAACATGAAGGTTAATCACGTAAACTACTACTTAACAAATAAATTTCATATGACAATATGAAAAAAACATAAGGCTATCTGTAAACTTGTACCTGTTCAACGATAGGGAAATAATACAGTAATGTCAAATTGCAGGAATTAACATATCCATACACTGAATATGCCTTCAGGAACTTAACAAACATCAGAATGATAAAACCAAGACAAACATCGGAATGATAAAACCAAGGCAACAAAAACATAATATAACTATTTATCACAGATCGGATGAAGACTTTTGCACTGAATTCCATTTGAATTATTCTCCAATTGGCTTATTCCAATCATGAAGAGGAACCTTAATGTTGTTTTAGAAAGATTATCCCTTGGCATGTGTCAAAAATAGGAAGCACATATGCATTAGGTAGTCTAGACTCCTCTTGCAACTTGTTCAATGAGTGACAGATTCATTAAGCACAAGCCTTAAGGTTAAGCTTTTGGAGTTTCAAAGAGAAGCCCTAACCATAATCTCCACAAAAGCAAGAGCACCAAACAGGTAACTCCAATCCCATAGTTATGAATCATAATCTCCACAAAAGCAAGAGAATCAAACATGTAACTCCAATCCCATAGCTATGAATCAAATTCGTGCAGTAGAGGGGCTTCTATAAAAAGTTTAATAAGCAAGCTTTTTAAAACAATTATACTTCAGAGATGTCACTCGGCATCTAACAGAGTCTTGAAGATGACGATTTACAAAGGATTGATAGTCATGATGATTACATTTATAGCACACCTTCCTTTAAGAAAATTGACCACTAAACTGAAAACGTAAGCTAGGTTAAAGACCACTTGAACTGTTAAATAGGTAGAAACAAGATCACATTGACATGATTTATAAGTGATCAAACTGTTATGACCCAAGATGAGCACGTTACAGTTGAAAGCAGACAAAACAACATATTAAATTTTGAGAGTGCAAAAAATGAGTGTACCCAAAGAATAGGGATATTCCGTACTCATACTCAATACTTTGTTGGACCTAAAATTGAATGCTAATTATCATGTCTATAAAATCAAGTCAAATCAACTACCATGAATTAAAAAGGAAAACGCCAACATAGGAACTGCCAAGATAATCCTAGATGGCATTTCACATTTCCCTATTACGCTTCAGTAGCTTGACAGCATCTTCAACAAGTATATCTGAAACATCAAACCAACAATAACAAAATCATTATCGTTGAATAAACACTTTGTTTGAAGCAATCGTGTTAAATGCTTGCATAGATCAAATTCTACTAAAAAAGGTGGGTGTATAGAATGCAAGGGTTTCTGCAAATTCTAGATCTGGAGAGGGTTTTATGCATGCAGATTTACCCCTACCTAATAAAGAGGCTACTACAAGTTATCAAAAGCTACAATTCTAACTGAAATTAATCATTTTGAGGGAAGTAAAGATAGTAAATCAAATATAATTCAAGATAGATGCAATAACTATTGGCAAAATAGAAGAACATAACTGACAAGTAAACCATGTACTTTCACAGTTAGTTACCCATCCCTCCCACCAAGACACAAACAGAACACAGGAAAGAGAAAATGACTAATAAGAGATATAATATTGGATAGTGCAGATATATACAAGAGCTCATTGGGACACATACCAAACCCCCACCATCATCATCATCAAGATCACCAGCATTTGTGCCAACATCTTGCACCCCGGCCTGATCTGACATGGCTGATACCTAAGAATACAGTGTAATAATGATGTGCATGCCCTCTTGATTATCATATGTAACAAACATGGAAACAGATGAATGGGGATGGCAACCTTGATGGTCCTCCCAGCAATCTCTAGCTGTCCATTAAGACTCTGAGCAGCTTTTGCATCTTCAAGACGCGTAAACTGAAGTAATGCATTAAAATTTGTCAGCTAAGCAAAGTTAATACTTGATAGGTAAGCAGTATTAGTTCAGAAGAAGACTCACTTGAACAAAACCAAAACCTTTGCAATGCCCAGTTTCAGGATCAAGAGGCAACTGAACTAGTTCCACAGCACCAAATGGTTCAAAGACCTAGATGACCAACTTCAATTGGTAAAATTTAAAAGGGAAAAAAGAACTAAATGAAGAGATGAAAAAAAAAAAAAAGGTTCTAGCTCTGGATAAGAAATTATGAATAATAAATCTAGAAATGAACAACTGTATATTGCCAGAAGTATGAAGACACATTTTTGCAGTTTGCTGTTTTATCCATCAATTTTTTATTCTCAGTAAATATGTGATCTTAAAAATGGATAAACTAGCAAAAACAAACTACCAAGTGAAACACAAATAGATAGCATGGCAAATCAACTACGAAAGGCCTAAATGAAAATGGCCAAATGGCAGATTTTAATTGTTTCCAAGATCAGGATACATAGCAATAACAACAACGACAATATCAAGCCTTTATCCCACTACATGGGGTCAGCTATATGAATCTTTTTTCTCCATTGTGTCTTGTTAAGAGTCAAATTCTCATTTAAATATAATAAAAAAAGATCATTTCTAATATTCTAACAAATTCTTTTAGGTCTACCTTTACCTCGCCCTGCTCACCACTCCGATTCTTTTCTTTCTAAACGTAAGCTAAATCTAATACATCTACTTTCCTAATTGGGTCATCGGAAGGCCGCTCTTTTATATGACCAAACCATCTAAGGCGACTCTCTCTAATATTATCTTCCACTGGAGTTACTGCAACCTTTTTCACGTATATGCTCATTTTGTATCCTGTATCTAAGAGTAAAGCCACTCACCACCTGAGCATCGTCATCTCTGCAACACTTAACCAGGATACATAGCAAAAGCAAAAAATATTCATAATTCATCCAATCACAGTTAGTCCCATTCATGGAAATCAACAGAGTTTTAAGAAATATATTTCTTACGGATATGTTCTGCTCCATTGAATTTCCTCAAATATTTTCCGTACAACAATAGCACTTAAAAGTGATGGATTCTTTCTGCAGGTATTCACCGAGTTATAATTATAGGCATAAGAGAGCAGAAAGAACTTGTTTCAACAAATCACGTAAATATCTATTAGCGCTTAGTAACTGTAACTAAAAACAAAAATTGAAAAACAATCAAACAGAAATCATTACCTGATTGCAAAGAACTTGAAAAAAATCAGAAGTAATCACAAAGTTAATGTGAGATACTTTCGAAGTTGCACTATTAAGATGCAGAATCCAGATAAGTTTTAAAAGTTTTAAATATTCAAACCACTAGTGGTTTCTTCATCAACTAATAAGGTCACCATTCTAAAATTTACTATAAAATGGAACAAATATAAAGCCAAAACAAGTGAATGTCACTAAGTGGAAACATGTGCAGATACCTTGCGTAATATGCAGGAATAAAATAATAGATAGTTTCAAATAACTGATTGCTACAGATGTGCGGTAATGCAAGTATGCAAATCGGAAGAAACATAATCATAGCATAAGCTAGTGTTGTTAAACTCTGTTTGGTACCTGTCGCAGTTGATCTTCTGTCATATTGAAGTGAAGATTGCCCACATACAACTTTCTAGCCCCGCCAGAAAAAGGTCCACTAAGGCCACCAGCTCCTGCCGAAGTGGCAGTTGACTGTACCAAGTTCTTCTCTGCCTCAGATGGTTTAACCATTACAGGTTGACCAAGAAGCAGCTGACCAGAGAGAGCAATAGCCATTGGAACTGACATAGCATCATAAAATTCAATGTACCTGCATTTGGAACGTGACTATTAAATAATAATCTATTACACAGTATGCTATCCCACCAAAATTAACATAGGCCAAATAAGTTTAATTTGCATGAAAGAATAACAGTACAGGCCATTATTGAAGATAGTCTTAGAAAGAGTTGACAGAGAAGGCACTACTTATGATGCGACAAGAAAGATAAATGAAGGATAATACTATGCAAGATAGAAGAAGAAATAATTATATCAAAGACAGTGGGGTGCATGCAGAAAATGGGCAAGGTTGAGGAAATAACTTAGGATGAGAAAAAAAGATGCACCAAAATGGGTAGAAAGAAATAATGTGAAAAGATTTAATTTAAAAAAAATGTCTAAACAAAAATTAACAGAAGATGTGGAAAATGGTTAAACCATACCCTACTCCCTTAGAACGCCTTGAATTGCGATCCATTATGAGGCGAACATCACGTACCTAAAACATAGAAAACCAATTTGGATTATTTGCAATATAGACTGAGAATCACAGTCACATTTGAAGTTCAACTTACAAAAAGGTGATCCAGTGACACATACTGAACATGTAATAGAATTGCACCATAAGGGACCCTATATGATCGCCTGTCATGTTTCCAGTGCACCAATAAAATCTTAAAATGCAGTTCTTATTAAAGAAAAGCAGAAAACCATAGCTCAAAGAAGAAGAAAAAAAGTACATGCAGGGATTATCTACAAATTCTCAAACCCACATGCAAAACGACACAAACTCTAAACTCCAATTTAAGATTCCTTTGGAGGACAATATCATAGCAAAGGAAATCGAGCAAATTCACAAGCTCAACATGTTACTAAAATGCAAGATTCGAAATAATATATAGGAACATCTGCACATATCCATGAGAACAACAGAATGTACTGCAACAGTCTTATATTAAGATCCGATTGGCTAACAACATTGAAACTGCAACACGTCTCCTGGTCAATATGAATAAAAATCTGGATCATTCTCGCATATCCAACCCCGGCCTTTTTGTGGAAGCCTTTGGTAGGAAAGGCTTAAAGATCTCAAGAATTTCCTAGCAATCTTTGGAAAACAGCGATAATTCTCCACAAAAATTCACACAAAATCAGGAAAACAGTAGATAAATTGTATTATTCGATGAAATGGAAACGGAAAATACCAAGATACAATTGATCCTCTATTCGAGAGGAGTATTTATCTCTCCCAAATCTCTAGACACCGCTAGAGCCCAAAAACCAAAGAGATCTCAAATTTCAGCCAAATTCAAGATGCCCTAACCCTAGGAAAACAAACTATTTAATGAATACAATCCAAAAGGAAATCTCTAAACAATCCCTACATTCAAATTTCTCTCCTAACTCCCTCAAAAATCCTTCCAAAACGGCTCCGTTGGATTGGGCGGTTTAATCGGCGTTGTACAGGAGGTGGAGACGTTCCGCCTCTATTGCCCGTAAGCCGGTCCCGTATTGACCTGCTAGACCGGTCCAGTGGACCGGTCTAACAGCCTTCTTTTAGAGGATGGTATCTTCCTTGCCTTTCTTGATAACATCTTAAATTATCAACAAGACATCTAGATCATCATGCAACATTGAAGGCTTAAATGTTGAGGTTCCCAACATTCACCAACAAGTGCATCTCACCAAGGGTAGCAACTCTACAACAGACATGAATAGGTTTATTAAAAATTCACCACCAATAGATATGGATAAGATTGCAAAGCCAATGATATTCTAACTATTACTGAGGCTGACATTACAAGCAATAGGCAAACTCATAGCTATTTTTTTAATTTCTATTTATATTTAAAATTATTATTGGATAAAATAATAACTTATTATACACATTAAATTTGTAAATGAATGTTATAAATGAACCGGGGTTTGTGCCCACAAACCAAACCGACCTCCCTTACGCACAAGCTTACCCCAACACACATGAGAGACTTGAACACCTCGATCACATGATTTGCCTTAGGCTGCGTGGACAACACCTACAATCAGCGCTGCAATTTCATACGCCTCACCATAGCTAGTGATATTTTAATTAGTCGCATACCTAGGGTATAGCATAAACCTCCTATGTCATTCCCTTTCCTTAGACACCAATGATAGCATTGTCTAATAGCCATGAGCTCTTTCTTTTATTGTTCATGCTACATGCCACTGTGTGGAGATGTTTATTGATTTAGAGAAACAATATGATAAAGTTCCAAGAAAAGTGTTATGGAGAATAAGGAGGATCTGCATTGATATTTATTAATTTAGATAAAACATATGATAAAGTTTCAAGATAAGTGCTATGGAGAGTTCTAGAAAAGAAAGGGGTTAATAGTGCTTATACTCAAGTTATTAAGGATATGTATGCAGGAGTTGTTACTTGTGTTCAAACACAAGGTAGTTTGACCAAGTATTTTCCTACTTTTGTAGGATTACATCAAGGATCAGCCTTAAGCCCATATCTTTTTTCTTTACTCATGGATGTTCTCACTAGACATTTGAAAGAAGTTGTACCCTCATATATACTTTTTGCATATGATATTCTTCCAGTTGATAAGCCTAAAGAGGGAGTTGAAGGTAAACTTGAATTATGGAGGTTAACCATAGAGTCTAAACGTTTTCGTTTGAGTATATCTAAAACCGAATATATTGAGTGTAATTTTAGTAGTAATAGATCTATTTGGGGATGGTGACTTTGAGCAACAAAACAAAATACATTAATAAGAGTGCACGTTTTAGATATATTGGGTCTATTGTTCATAGTGATGGTGAAATAGATGGGATATTATTAGTAGAATTCAAGTTGAAGTGGAAGAATGCATCGGGCATGTTGTGTGATAGAAAAGTCTATAAGATGGTGGTGAGACCTGCAATGCTTTATGGTGCAGAATGTTGGCCGTTAAAAGAGAAACATAATATTAAGTGAAGTGTTGCAGAGATGAGGATGTTCAGGTGGATGAGTGGCTTTACTCTTAGGGGTTGTTTGGTTGACTGTAAAGAGAATGCAATGTAAAGTAAATACATTGAGGTTGTTTGGTTGTCTATAAAGTGAATATATGAAAACTATTTTTTAGTTTGGTTAGGTGTATGCAAAGTAAAGAAAAATCAATGTATTCTGAATATTTGGAGGTCATTTGATTTGGTGTTTGTAGAGTAAAGACTAAACAAAAATTTAATCAAGAACAACAAAAAATCGCAAAATCATAACTCTACCTATCAGGTTTTTCAAATCGAAGAACTGAAAAGAAGAAAAACCCTCACACTTGTAGTTCTAACAAGATTAGGCGATGACATAAGTCGCATAAACAAGCTAGAGAGAGTCCACTTCTTCTCGACAAAAGAAAAATAAAAGACAATCTGAATTGCAGATGAAGCAGAAGTAAAAGAGAGGGGACTAAAGGATCTATTTCTCACAAGATGAACCGGGGCCTTGATATGCTTGATGAGAGTGGAGCTACACTAGTTCTCCCTCGTGATGCAGGCAAAAATTAGGAAAATACAATATTTAAAACAAAGAAATAAGAAAAAAGAAATGCTTTCTAGTAAATAAGAAATTACACTAAATACTAAAATTTAGACAAAATACAACATTTAAAACAAAATAAAACTTCACTTTTATAATATAAAACGACACTTACAACTTTTGACGCTTACAAACACAAAAAAAAACACCTAAAGGAGCTTGCATTCGTTGAGAAGAAAGATACAGGTGGGGTGGTCAATTGCGGCGAGAAGAAAGAGGTAAGAGGCCAAAACGAAGGAGGACAAGCTCGCAAGCTTTCCTAGATGAAGGAGAATGGATGGAACAAGCTTGCAATCTTTTCCACGAGAACCCGTAGGTTTTGGCTTCCAAAAATTTGATTATATCATCCTTCTTTTATGCTTCAAGACACCTTATATTTATAGGAGAAACGGGGGCAGCTAAACAGCCCATAATTACCCTAATTAAACCAATTGAAATAGATAAAATGAAAGTCCAAGGGGCTGTCCAAAAATAGCACCCAAACAGCCAACAATCAGTCCAGAAACAGCACCCAAACAGTCACAAAGGGGCCAGCATTCACTCTAGAACAACAGCTGAAAAGCCACACAGGAAACTGGGTAAAACAGCCATGGGACAAGCAGCCAGGAGAGGAACCGAAGGGAGCATCCCAGGGGATCGAAACCAGCACCAGGAGAATCGGAACAGCCACCATAGAAACTGGAACCAGCAGCCAGGCCGGAAAAATTGAAGAGATATAGGGAAGGGGAAAGGAATAGGCAGCCAAGGGGGGAAGAACCAAAATGGGGAAACCGAAGAGCCAAAGGCAAGGGGGTATTAACCAAATAATGACACTTTATGAGCTGAATAAGTAGAAGCTCACTAATGAGCTGACTTTAGTAGAAACTTACAAAAATTACAACCCAGCTTATTTTGACCCCCCATGCCTACATCAGTTCTCCTCCGGTTGAAAATTCTCATCTCCTGATGAGGTTGTTTTTTTATTTATCCTGATGAGACGAATGAGGCATTTCAAGCTCTTGAATTTTTGCTTCATATCTTTTCAGAATTTCTTCTCGTTCTTGTTTGAATTGATCTTGTAGAAGTCGCTTCTTCTTCATGTGCTGCTCCGTACACATATGCATCTTCATCTGAAACTTGTATAGTTCATTTTGTAGGGGATCTGTTGAACTTCCTTCCGACGAAACCCATCCATCCATTGGAATTTGAACTTCATAAACTTCTAGATTGCATTCTTCCACAACTGACTCAATTTTATTGTCTTTTTACATTTTTTTTAACACATAAAAAAGACACGAAAAAGAAACCTAGGAAGACACAAACCTAGGCTCTGATACCAATTTGATGCAAATAAGAAAATACACGAAATACTAAAATTTAGACAAAATACAACATTTAAAACAAAATACAACAAAGCAAAATACAACTGCACTTTTATAATATAAAACGACACTTACGACTTTTGACGCTTACAACACAAAATAAAAACACCTAAAGGAGCTTTCCTAGACGAAGGAGAAGGGATGGAACAAGCTCGCAAGATTTTCCACGAGAACCCGTATGTTTTGGCTTACAAAAATCTGATTATATCATCTTTTTTTAAGCTTCAAGACACCTTATATTTATAGGAGAAAATGGGCAGCTAAACAACCCATAATTACCCTAATTAAACCAATTGAAATAGATAAAATGGAAGTCCAAGGGGCTATCCAGAAACAGCACCCAAATAGCCAACAATCAATCCAGAAACAGCACCCAAACAATCAAAAAGGGGTCAGCACTCACTCTATAACAGCAGCTGAAAAGCCACACAAGAAACCGGGTAAAACATCCACAGGACAAGCAGCCATGAGAGGAACCGAAGGGAGCAGCCCAGGGGATCGGAAACAGCACCAGAAGAATCGGAACAGCCACCACAGGAATCGCAACCAACAGCCAGGCAGGAAAAATCGAAG